GCTACTTTTGTGTTTCAGGAATATCTTCTTTGCTGATTCACTTTATGAGGCATCCTGTTATTTGTATTCTGATCCGTAATAAGCCACCTGCAGAGATCAATGCATATCTCAATGATTAAAGTGCAATTGTAACACTAGATCTGTGGTTCCCAACGTGGGGCCCACGCCCCACAGGGTGGCAATTTGAGTTTCTAGAGGGAGAATTTTTTAAAATAATTTCTTTAAATTTAATTTTGCTCTTTTTTCAATCTAACTTTCTGATTTTTTTCTTTCATGGATGTTCTTTGGAAGCTTGTTTAGCCATTTGTTAAAAATTCACTTTCTGAATGATGAGAATTATGTATCACAAGGGTGGAATATTTTAGAGAGTGCTTAGAGGTGGAGCAAGGCCAAAAAAAGGTTGGAAACCACTGCAGTAGAATAAGAACAACTCCACAACCCTACTCTAATCCCCGAGTCATTGCAAAATTGACCACAGACAAATATATTCAACGTTCTTTATTTTTTTAACTAGGTAGATATGTAATTATATGATGAAGGAAGAAGCTCACCTTTCGGAGTGACGCTCAAATCAGAATCACTGGATCTTCGATGCAACGAGGCAGTGGGCTGTGCCTTAGTTGTCGGTAACTGGCATACTTTTGAAACCACAGGAGAGACAGCCGGAAGTGGATAAGTTGGGCTTAGAGATGCCTCGTCTTGTTGCCTGTGATTGGAGGAAGGAGGGGGCACACACGAGTTGTAAGTCATATTAGCGGTGTTAGTAATATTAGTTAACTCATTTTCATCTAACGTTTTACTTATACTGAAAATGCTGTGACTCTCATGTACCGCATGATCTACAGGTGTGGATGATATCGTATGGTTAGTATCATTTGTCTTTAGTTGCATCATCTCTATCGTATCGCTATTACTTTTAAACGTATCGTTGCACTGACAATGAGTTGACGGATCGACTGTAGATCTTTTGGTTATGAAGTGAGACGACTCGGTTGTTCTGCATAAATGTGACTGAATGGGTGCGTCATGAATGACTATACTCTCGAGAGAGGAGTTGTAGGAGGAGGAGTCGAGCGTACGCAGCGTTGACATGGATTCGTTCAAGGGTGAGTCTTTGGAGAACGAGAACAAGCGCGTGGTTTTCACACGTTTGTGATTGTGGAGACGTTTCCTCAGAAACTGATTGTGCAAGTTCTGACGTAAGTTCCGGGGATTGAAGTTCCTGCACGCTCTGTCACGTCTCATCCTTCTGAAGTGACCGTCGTTATTGTTGCTATGGCAAGGATGCGCCATCATCTTTGTGTCAATTATCCGAATCAGATCCAGCATGCGACGCTGTCTGTTCTTCTGCATCACGTCGAAGATTTCATTGCTTGAAGACTGTAACAGACTCTCGATGCTGGACGAGGCTTTCGACATAATCTCTGGCGTTAGTTTGCTGTTCAGACAAGTCAGCTTTTCACTCGGTTCAGTGCCAGAAAACTGAGATAACTGATGGAGAGACAGTGGAAGTGACTGTATCGACAAAGTCGACTTCAACACGTTGTGCTTTTTCAATCTTTCCGCACGTTGTCTCTCCTTGAAGGAATCTCTCAAAAT